TCAGTAAGTGGGACATCAAACTTAAAAGCTTCTACACTGCAAAAGAAACAATTAACATAAGTGACATCACCAAGATGGCGACATAGGTCATTCTTGACTTTGCTGTCCCTCATAAGAAGGACAAATAATTATTCACAGACAGACACCAGTGAGAAAATCCTAAAACATGGGGATGAGGCTAAAGCATTACAGAGACCAAGACAGACCACTTAGAAGAATAAGAGAAGGGGTTACACACTGACCACAATGCCCCTCCCTCAGGCCAGTGCAACATCACACTGAGAGGTCTCTTCTAAGCTTATCATTCCTCCTTTGGGGGAAAAAAAAAAGAACCCAGGGTGGATATCAAGCTCACTAGCATTGTGAGTTATTTATTAGGAATCCCCAGTGCAGTCTCACATCATGAGGATTTCAAGGGAATACGCAGGGTTTGACCACTGGGAATCTGATTGTGATGGGGAAGTGAAGAGGGACTTGTAGCAACCAGCTCTCAGATCTAGGCAGACTGATTTCCTACTTCAGTGCCCAAGTTGTAGGCCCAACCAGCAGTTTTGATAATCTGCACAGCCCAGAAACACTCAAGCGGAGAGTCCGACAGGTAGATCTGATAGTTTGCAGAGCAAAGCAAGTGGTCCTATTTAGCCAGGGAACTTGCAAAATGGGTTAGCATGAGCCAAGATCACAAAGAGCCTTTCTGGCCATGAAGCTGGTTCTCCCTGTGCCTGTGCAGGGAAAATAATTTGTCACCCTGCCCACTGCTGAATACAGCCTTAAGTCCAACCTAACCATACCACATGGAAAGCCATGTAGCTCATCCAACAGCCCTGCTTATAGTGGCACTCGAACAGAGAGTACACCCCATGGCTTTTCCTGTCTACAGAGCAAGGCCAGTGGTCCTGTCTCACCAGTGAATTCAGTGCAGTCTTGGCTGATTCAGGTCCCCAAACAAAATACAGTAATAGAGGAAATGAGGGGGAATGGTTTAAGGCATACAGAAAACAAATCTAAACTTGACAATTTCTCCCTTAATAGTAATTAATGAATTAAACTATCCAATCAAAAGACAGGTAGCAGCAGAATAGGTTAAAAAAAAACTGCATAATCTCCTAGATGCTGTGCATATGAGGTTCATTTTACATGCAAAGACAAATAGACTGAAAGTGAAGGGATGGAACTCTATGTAAATAGTAACCAAGAGAGTGGAAGTGGTGTGATGATCAATTTTATGTGTTGACTTGGCTAAGAAATGCCCAGATACCTGGTAAAACATTATTTCTGAGGATGTCTGTGAAGGCATCTTCAGAAGAGATTAGCATTTGAATCAATAGCCTGAGATCACCCTCATCAATGTGGGTGCACATCCTCCAAGATACTGAGGGCCTAAGTAGAACAAAAAGATGGAGAAAAGGTGAATTTTCTTTCTCAGTTTGAACCGAGACATCCATCTTCTCCTGCCCTTGGACATTGGCACTCCTGGTTCTAGGGAGTCAGGTTGAGACTGGGACTTACACCATCTACAGCCTCCCAATTCTGAGGCCTTTGGGCTCAAACTGAATTACACCCCCAGTGTTCCTGGTTCTCCAGCTTGCAGATAGTGAATCATGGGACTCCTTGGCCTTCATAACTGCATGTGCCAATTATTACAATAAATCTCCTTTTATATATCTATATCAATATTTATATATATCCTATTTGTTCTATTTCTCTGGGGAATCCTAATATAGGTGGCTTTATTAATATCAAACAAGATAGACTTTAAGTCAAAAACTGTTGCAAGAGACAAAGAATCACATTATATATAGACAAAAGGGTCATTCATCAAGAATATGTAACAACTATGACCATATGCACACACAAAAAAGAACCCCAAAATATATGAAGCCAACAAGCAGATAAAAGATCCACAAATAAATATAGGACTTGAACATTATACACCAATTGGACATGACAAATGGCATTTATGAAACCCACAGCTAACATTCAACTCAATGGTGAAAGAATGAAACATTTCTCCCTAAGAACAGGAACAAGACAAAGATGTCTGTTTTTACCAGTACTATTCAACATTGTACTAGAATTTTGAGCAAAAGCAGTTAGAAAATAAAAAGAAATAAAAGGTATCCAAATTGGAAAAGGAGTAAAACTATCTTTATTCACAGATGACATGATCATATATTTAGAAAATCCCAAAGATTCCATACAGAAATATTAAAGTTAAATTCAGCAAAGTTTCAGGATTCAAGATCAGCATACAAAATCAGTTGTATTTCTAAACACCAGCAATGAGTAATTTGAAAATGAAATTAAAAAAAAAAATTCCATCACAATATGTCAGAAAGAATAAAATACTTAGGAATAATATTGCCCAAGAATTATACACTGAAAACTATCAAATATTGTTATAATAAACTAAATAAGACCTAAATAAAATGGAAAGGCCTCCTGGGTTCATGAATTGGGGGACTTAATATTATTAAGATGACAGTACTTCCCAAGGTGATCTACAGATTCAGTGCATTCTCTATGAAAATCCCAAAAGCCTATTTGAAAAAATGAAAAAATTTGATCCTAAAATTCATAATTTGTTGCAGGAGGTCTAAAATAGCCAGAGCGGTATTGAAAAAGACAAAATTTAGGAATTCATACTTCCCCATTCCAAACTTACTACAAAGCTAAAGTAAATCAATGCAGTGTGATAATGACATGTGGATAAATATTTATACCAGTGGAATACAATTAAGAGCACAGAAATAAACACATACATGGGGTTGACTGGTGTTTGACTAGGGTGCCAATACAATTCAGTGGAAAAAGAAGAGCCTCTTCAACAAAATGCAGGGATAAGTCAATTTCCACAGGCAAAAAAAAAAAAAATAAGTTGTATGTATCACTACTTCACACCATATACAAAAATTAACTCAAAATGTATCAATGACTTAAATATAAGAGCTAAAACCATAAAGCTTTTAGAAGAAGGATAAATCTCTATTATCTTAGATTTGGCAATTGATTCTCAGATATTGACACCAAAAGCATAGCAACAAAATGAGAAACAGATAAATTGAGCTTCATAAAATTATTTTTATGCATCAAAGGACATTTTCAAGAAAGTGAAAAGATAACCTACCCAATGAGAGGAAATATTTGTAAACCATATATCTGACAAAAGGTTTAATATCCAGAATATATAAAGAACCTCTAAAACTCAGCAACAAAAGACAAACAACCCAATTATAAATGGTGAAGGAGTTGAATAGATAAGTTGACTTATCCCTGCATTGTTTGAAAAAAATAGATGTTTTTTCCAAAGAAGATATACAAATGACCAATAAGCACATAAAAAAATGCTTAACATCTTTAGTAATTAGGGAAATGCAAATCAAAATCACAATGAGATATATTTCATACCTACTAGAATTATTACAATTAAAAGAGCAAGGAAAACAAGTGTTGGCAAGAATGTGTATCCTTCTACACTGCTGGTGGAAGTATAAAATGGTGCAGCCACTGTGGAAAACAGTTGGGCAGTTACTCCAAAAGCTAAAATTAGAATTATCATATGATCCAGCAATTACATGCCTACCCAAAATAATTGAAAACAGATTTAAACAGCTACCCATACACCATGTTCATTGTAGCATTATTCACAATAGCCAAAAGACAGAAACAACACAAATGTGCATCAGCAGGTAAATGGATAAACAAAACGTGATACACACACACACACACACGCAACAGAATCTTATTCAGCCCTTAGACAAGGAAGGAAGTTCTGACACATCATTGATGAAACTTAAAAACATTATGCTAAGTGAAATAGGCCAGCTACAAAAGGACAAATGTTGTATAATTTCACTCATATGAGATATAATAGGCACGTTCAGAGAGATAGAAGTAAATTAGACATTACCAGGGGCTGGATAGGGGCAGGAATGGGAGTTACTGCTTAATGAATTTCTTTTTTAGGTGATGAAAAGTTGTGGAACTAGAGGTAGTGATGGTTGCCCAACATTGTGAATGTCATTCATGCCATTGAATTGTACACTTAAACGATGATTAAAATGGCAAATTTCATGTTATATATATTTTACCACAATAAAAATTTTAGTAGATTGATTAAACTCAGGCCAACTGCTGGTTAAAATTTGTAATAAACTTTGAATAAAAGAAAACATCCTGATCATAATAAGGAATACTTATCTCAGATAACCTGGTAACATAGGTTATAACAGTTATAAGCAGAGGAACTCTCAACTCAAAGCACAATAGAAGAGTAATTCTCCTGCACTCTACATCACAACCATTTAATTTTATTTTGAAAGTTCAAGCCAATGTTGTAAGATATGGGTTGATTATAAAAGTTATATATGTTGGAAGGGAAGAACAGATTTATCAGTTTTAATATAGATATCTAATATATATATTATATATATATATATATTTTTTTTTTAAGAGAGAGGGAACACGTTCAAGTTGGGGGTGGGAGGCAGGGGGAGAATCTTAATCAGGCTCCACCCCCCCAGCACAGAGCCCCATGCGGGGCTCGATCCCAGAACCCTGAGATCATGACCAGAGCTGAAATAGAGTCAGTCACTTAATCAACTGAGCCACCCAGGCACCCTGTTTTAAAATATATAAAACACCTAAAGAATCTAGCTAAAATATGAATTATTTATACCACAAATCATCTTTTTCCTGCTGTACCCTGATGAGTTTTTGGCATGATATGTTAAGAATTCATAATGCCAAAAACTATTATTTGGTTGAGGCAAAGCTATCACTGCCCTTTTACACAGATCTTAGTTGAAACAAACTCTGGGTAAAGCTAACTCACCAAATTAATTTTTACATACTGGTCAATAGATTTCCATATTATGTGATGACTGTCCAAGGAGTTATTTCCATATATAATAATGTTCTCTCTTCATTTATTTATAATTATACCATGGGAAGACACAATCATTCACATTTTTACCTTACAAAACAGAAAATAATTTTACCTTGAAATTCTCTTGCTTCTTGGTAAGTTTGTTTTTCAGTCTTACTTTGTAATTTCTCTTCTCCAACGGCAGCCTTAATGACAAAAACTATAATAAGTAATTTCAAATTATATGTCTTGGAACTCTAATTACCTTCTCTCAGAGCAAGAATTTTTATTCATTATCTACAATGTCATTGCATAAATGTTTTACTTTTATATCCCGAATGCATCAAATAAAAACATGAGAACAATTAATGGATCTGAAAGGCATTTGGGAACACTCATGTGGAGGGAACCCAAGCTATATTGTGATTCTCCTCATAAATAATTCTAAATAAATCATGTTAATAATGATTATGATTCTACTTTAGACTTACATTTTAGTCTGATTCAATCTCTAGACCAACTCAAATGGCTCATGAAATCCTTTTTAAGGTAACTTTAATAAATTCTATGATAAAAGTGTATTGTAGATATATGTCAAATATATATAGCCTTTTATTTTATTTATTTATTTGACAGAGAGAGACACAGTGAGAGAAAGAACACAAGCAGGAGGAGTGGGAAAGGGAGAAGCAGGCGTCCCGCGGAGCAGGGAGCCTGATGCGGGGCTCGATCCCAGGGCCTTGGGATCATGACCTGAGCCGAAGGCAGACGCTTAACGACTGAGCCACCCAGGCGCTCCTATATATAGCCTTTTTATCATTTCTTTTTTTCCCCAGCATTTTTGCTTTAAGAGTTTTTCTAATCAAATACTGTTTTAACAAAAGCAATTCTAATAATTTTCTAGGCCTTGTTTAAGGTATATAAAGTCATTTCAAAAGAACTTTGTTTTCACAGTTACCTTACTATATAAAAATATTTTTTCTGGATAAACCTGAAATGAAAATTTCCCTATCTCAGCTAGGAATTGTATATATTTTATCATTAAAACTCAATCTAAGCCACAACTTCTTTGTCGATAGAGCTTAGAATTTTTTATGTTAAAATATCACTCTGATTCTCAAATATACCTTAAACATCCTAAATATAAAATAGATTATATTAAAAGGCAAGCTTTTTACTCCTTTTAAATAAGAAAATATTAATGAGTTTTAATTAACATTTACTTAAAATATTAAGGGAATCTAGCATTTCAAAGTGAACAGCTTTCAAATTATTGTACTATATCTTACCTCTGAGATATCACTACCCATTGGCTTTTTTCTGGTAAGAAAAGGATGTGAAATGAGTGACACTGTTGTTGTTCCATCCCCTTGAAGTGATGTTTTGACAGACAGTAAGTCTCCAATCTCTTCGTTTGATAATAGTCTTGTTAAGGATTTATCCTGGGTCTTTAATGGAAGTATATGGGGTAGGTCTTTATTAGCTGAAACTTCATTTGAACTCCTTAAAAAAGCTGATCCATCTTGAGACTGTAGGATCTGTGAAAGATCTGGAAGAGCAGAGCTAGCTCTTTTCTTCTCTGAGCTTTAGAATTACAAAACATCTGGTATTAGATTATGTGAAGAAAATGTTTTATTTGTAATTGAAGAATCATTTTCATAATCTATAAGAATATTAAATAAGCAACCATAATTATTCATTACTTAATGGTAATACAAATATGAAGTTGCTGCTAGATAACAAGTCAGAGATAATATATCTTTTGGGATTTAAAATAGATATACAGAATTAAGTAACATTTAAAATACTTAACATAAGAGCTATTCAAGATCATAACAGGCAAGAACAAAAAATATTTGGTCAGGCAAAGTAGAGCACAAGATGTTTTAGAGGATGCCCTTTAGTCACATTTATTCCAAAGTTATCTTTCCACAATTTCATCTCAGAATGAAAATAAAAATGAAAATTTCTCTATAGTGGTTTTAATATTAAAAGATCACTGTCTTCCACAAGGGTCAATTTCCAAGCTCTGGGTTAGTTTTCTTCAAGTTAGTAAGTATTTATTCTTCACCTGTTGGCAGGATCAGCTTATTAGGGTTCCAGAACTAGTAACCATATATCATGGTTTGTCCGCACAGTCTCAGTGTATGCTTGTCCCAGCATTCCAGTTTAGATGATAATTTAAATGATCCAACTACAATTACCCATGTTTTATAGAATTTAACACAGCTTTTCTAGCCCTATCAAATGAAACAGATTTTGATGGTTTTTGTTTTATACAGCTATTATTCCAGTTAGTATAATTTGCCTAAGGTTTATTGCAGTGCCAAAAATAATTTAAATTTTGGTCACACAGATGCAAAATTTTACAACGTAACTATTGTCACCAATCCTAATCTGTTACTTTAGGATGAATTTCAAACACCTGATTTTGGATTATAAAAAAGAGAGATATGGAGGACAATTCTGAGAACAAAAGTGTAAGATAACTGATAGCTAAAAAGATAATTAATGAAAAACAGACTTGTATAGTGTTATAAAATGGATTCCAATATTAAAGTAAAGAGAATAGGTGGCTGCTTGTCCTAAATTAAGGCTATCTCAACCTCAAACATGATTTATTAGTTTTATCAGGTATTTGAATTTAAAAAAACTAGTTATAAAATAGTCTAACACTCTTCTGTAAACCATTTTTGAAGACATATCCTAGAGGACTGTTGTCATTTTTTGGCCACTGAAGCATAACAATTGTTCAAGCACATAATATAAATTGATGCCTTTTTACAACCATACCTGCAGCTATACACAAATCACCACTCCTATTGCTAATATTACCACACAGCTATAAGTAGAAAGCAAAATGCTTTTAAAGATTTTGAAATTTTTATTAGGGGATATTAATCACTTGATTCTACACAGGCAAATGATCCTATTATAACAAGAGAGAAAATGTGTGGCAATATCAAGAACAAGGCCTTAAATACAATACAGAGAATATAATACAAAGTTTATTTATAACTATATTCCCACATGCAAGCTTTTCCCACTTAAATTGGCTCCCACAACCATAAAGGACAGTCATGGCATAACACCATAATACTTCTGCTGAGGGGGGACAAGAATGAAAAATACTAGAAAGGTATGCAAGCAGTACTGTTCAAGCTCACATCAGCCAAACAGATATCTCTCAGAAGTGGAAACAGGCCTACTTTCAAGGCCTGATGTCTGTTTGAGTGATAAAAGAAAAGAAGAGGTAGAGGAGGAAAAGGAGGAGGAAGAGGAGAAGAAAGTCGATGAAAGTCAGCCTATAGTCACACAGAAAATAATAATGATTTGCCCAATCCCCAATCTTTGGTAAATTATCAAAAACAACCTAAATATATTTTATAAGTCTTGCTAAATTTGCATCATTTGTCATACACTTTTGATTAAGATTCTTTCTAGTCATCACTATGTTAAAACACAGAGTATAATAGTATCCTTATGAGCATGTATATTAACAGCTTTGATAATAAGGATGTTGATGACATTCTACATGACAGTCTTCAACATCACTGATGTGATATAAAGACATAATATATAGAGATGTATAAAGAATAGCGGGGAGGAGCAAGATGGCGGAGGAGTAGGAGACCTAAATTTCATCTGGTCCCAGGAATTCAGCTGGATAGGGATCAAACCATTATGAACACCTATGAACTCAACAGGAGATCAAAGAAAAGAATAGTAGCAACTCTCTGAACAGAAAAGCGACCACTTACTGGAAGGTGGGACGTGCAGAGAAGTGAATCCGAGGCGATATTCGGGAGGATAGACGGTGGGGGAGGGGGCCTCCATCGGCCGATTCTGGCAAGTGATAGCAGAGCACAAAATGGGAACTTTTAGAAGTCAGCTCTGCTGAGGGACGTCGCTCCAGTGGCTAAGCGAGGGGTGGAACCCTCCCAGGACAGTGTGGTCTCGGGACCCTCAGGGTCACAGGAAGACTGGGGGGTGCTGAGTGCAGGAGAGCTCCCAGGGATTGAAGCAGGAAGCCAGCTGCAGAGACAGAGCTGAGGAGTGGGCTCTCAGGTTGGGGTTGCCATAACCTGTGATCCACAGCACAGTTGGGCCACTGCTCTTCCAGCAGGGACCCAATAAGCTGCGGATCCAGGGAGACTCCCCTTTCTCCCCTGGGGAGAAGTGGCATGGGAGCGCACCACAGGAATCTGCTGGGTTTGGAGACTCCATGCGGGGTCGGGTTCCAGAGATAGAAATGCTCGGTCACAGGCTGGGTGAGCACGGAGTGCAGGGAGACCGGGGAGACGGGAGTGACTGACTGCTTTTCTCTGGGGGCGCACTGAAGAGTGGGGCCCAGAGTTGTCAGCTCCTCTGGGGCAGAGATTGGGAGGCCGTCATTTTCACACCTGTCCTCCAAAGCTGTGCAGAAAGCTTGCAGGGAACAAAAGCTCCTGAGAGCAAATCTGAGGAGCAGATTACTTAGCCTGGCCCCCGCCAAGGGTGTGGCAGTTCTGCCTCCGGCAAAGACATTTGGGAACCATGGCAACAGGCTCCTCCCCCAGAAGACCAGCAAGAACAGCCAGCCAAGACCAAGTTTACTGATCAATGAGAACAGCAGAACGCCAGCATGAGGAGAATACAGCTCATAGAATTCATGGCTTTTCCCCCCCTGATTCTTTAGTCTTTCAAAGTTAATTTTTTTAATTTTCTTTCTTTTTTGAATTTTTCTTTTTCCCTTTTTCAACCAACATCTTATCAAACCATTTTTAAAAAATCTTTTTTATTTTTCATTTTTAGAGTCATAGTCTATCCCTTCAGAGTAGTTACCTTCTTTTTGGTATATATATATATATAAGTTGTCCTCTCTTTAAAATTTTGGGATACAGTTTCTTCTAACAGACCAAAATATACCCTAAATCTCTAGTGTATGGCTTTGTTCTAGTCTCCTGACAGATCACATTCTCTTTTTTTTTTAAATCCCCTTCTTTTTTTCAACCAATTTCTTATCAATTCCTTTTCATCTTTACACTCATATTCCATCCCTTCATCGTATTAACCCTTATTTTTGTACATATGTAAGTTTTTCTTTCTTTAAAATTTTGGGAGGCATTTTCTTCTAACAGACCAAAATATGCCCAAAATCTAGTGTGAGGCACTGATCTATGCACCAGCCTGATCATATTCTTTTTTATCTTTTTCTTTTTTCTTTCTTTCCCTTTCTTTTCCCCTGGTTTCAGGTCTCTTCTGATTTGTTTAGTGTATATTTTTCTGGGGTGGTTGTTACCCCGTTAGCATTTTGTTCTCTCATTCATCTATTGTCCTCTGAACAAAATGACAAGACGGAAAAATCACCTCAACAAAAAGAACAAGAGGCAGTACCGATTGCCAGGGACCTAATCAATACAGACATTAGTACGGTGTCAGAACTAGAGTTCAGAATGACGATTTTAAAGATATTAGCTGGGCTTGAAAAAAGCATGGAAGATATTAGAGAAACCCTCTCTGGAGAAATAAAGGAACTAAAATCTAACCAAGTCGAAATCAAAAAGGCTATTAATGAGGTGCAATCAAAAACGGAGGCTCTAACTGTTAGGATAAATGAGGCAGAAGAGAGAATTAGTGATATAGAAGACCAAATGATGGAAAATAAAGAAGCCAAGAAAAAGAGATAAACAACTACTGCTTCACGAGGGCAGAATTCGAGAGATAAGTGATACCATAAGGTGAAACGATATTAGAATAATTGGGATCCCAGAAGAAGAAGAAAGGGGGGGGGTAAGGTACATTGGAGAAAATTATAGCAGAGAATTTCCCTAATTGGGGGAAGGAAACAGGCATCAAAATCCAGGAGCACAGAGAAACCCCTCAAAATCAATAAAAATAGGTCAACATCCCAACACCTAATAGTAAAACTTATGACTCTCAAAAACAGAAAATTCTGAAAGCAGCTCGGGACAAGAGATCTGTAACCTACAATGGTAGAAACATTAGATTGGCAACAGACCTATCCACAGAGACCTGGGAGGCCAGAAAGGACTGGCATGATATATTCAGAGCACTAAACGAGAAAAATATGCAGCCAAGAATACTATATCCAGCTAGGCTGTCATTGAAAATAGAAGGAGAGGGTGCCTGGGTGGCTCAGTTAAGTGACTGTCTTCGGCTCAGGTCATGATCCTGGGGTCCCAGGATCAAGTCTCGCATTGGGCTCCCTGCTCAGCAGGGAGTCTGCTTCTCCCTCTGACCTTCTTCCCTCTCATGCTCTCTCTCTACCATTGTCTTTCTCTCTCAATAAATAAATAAAAATCCTTAAAAAAAAAAAAAAAGAAAATAGAAGGAGAGATAAAAAGCTTCCAGGACAAACAAAACCTAAAGGAATTTGCAAACACGAAACCAGCCCTACAAGAAATATTGAAAGGGGTCCGCTAAGCAAAGAAAGAGCCTAAAAGTAACATAGAACAGAAAGGAACACAGACAATATACAGTGACAGTCACCTTACAGGCAATACAATGGCACTAAATTCATATCTTTCAATAGTTACCCTGAATGTAAATGGGCTCAATGCCCCAATTAAAAGACACAGTGT